CATTCACCCAAAATCACGCAGGAGAGCATGGAGGATGTGCGGGTGACTTTCTCTGATGATGACTCGAGAAGGTGCCAAGTGCCACGACACACAGAGACACCGCTCTATCTTCCAGGAAGAGTCCTCTACTGCAACCCAAGCTTGCCTGAGGAAGAAAGGTAAAGGGCCAATGACTTGACTTCATGTAATAGTGTTTGATATGACCTAAAAAAAACTTAAATGACCTGAATCATCCTGACTAGGATGTACCCATTTCTTAACTCAATTATTTTTCCATTTGTGGAATTTTGATATTAACAATATGATGATGTAAATGGATATTGAATGAGCAGATCAAGCAGAATAGGAGACAAGATTTTGGATTTGAAAAAAATAGAAAGAATGGACTTGTGTCAGTAAAGAATAACTTTAGAGAAAATGATTAAGGAAGATGTTTAATGAATTTATTTTTCTTTATTTTGTTAGATTGGATGTTGTGAGCAGTGAGTGGGAATACCGATGGGGTGACATGAACGAGTTCACACAGCTGCTCATCTCGCCTTTCATGATGCGACACCATTTGCCGCAGGTGGTTCTTGCAGCCTTGGAGGATGTAGCACAGCAGGTGGCATCCCCAAGCTAACCAAATGTCCTGTGGTGCTCTGATTTTAATATTGGGTTTTAATGAGACCGAAAAAAAAGGAACTATGGAGTACACGCATTATACTGTTGTCTCTCTTTCACTCTCTTGCTCTCTTCTCATGTTCTCTCTGATGGTAACAGCATGATGTATTGTGTTAGTTCATAAAATTCAATCATCCTGAGTGTGTTAAGAGCAGTCACCTGAAATGTGAAATGCCCTTTCTGATGGACGAATATAAAATAGTGAATGAAAGAGATAGTGATGAATGTTTTTCATTTTCTTCTCTTTTCATTCCTTCATTTTTTTGTTATAAGGAATATAAAAGCAAATTTGGACTTTCAGACACTGAATACAGTGGCATAACACTTTGAAGAGATTGTTTAGAACACAACAGAATTGAAATTTCAGTGTTTGATCTATGACATATCCACATCTCAGTCACAGCTGTATTTTGACATCCAGAAGAACCATAGGTGGCTGATTAGCAAACCCTGCTTTACTTACTGTATCACTCGTGTAACAATGTTGCATATTGTATAGTAGGGTATGTATTAATGACAATCGATTAATAAATGAATAGTTTGAAAACTATGCTAAATATTCATCATCTTTGAGATGAAATGGTACTTTGCTCATATCTTTGGAAAGTAGAAGTGACAATATGAACAGTTTCTAGTGGTAGAATAGATTATGGTAGGATTTTGCTGGTAACTCATGAAAGTAAGATAACATGAGAGTTTACCAGAGTGAATAGAGGGGAATATTTATATTTGTTTACCTGGTATGTGAAATATTTATAGATAGGAGGAGGAATTTATAGCTTGTAACTTAGCCTGATGGTTAGCTTCTGGCATGCTACACAAGAACACTCAGACTTTATGGAAACAGGAACAAATCCTATGTGAAGTCCTTCCTTAATGTTTTGTGATAAATATTATAGTCACTGCCATTGCCCAGGGGGTGAGAAGGTACCTCTAGGTGTGAAGGACAGAGGTTTAATACCACAGGCTGATGTTCCAGCCAGACTTCCAGAAGGCCACTGTTTAGTGTGAATGAGGGAGTTCTTGGGATGACTTCACATTGAGACACAGCAATGCCCTATCTTGCTGTGAAAATGCCCCAGTTGATCTCCATTTAGCTTCAAAATATGAGCCTTGTCTATTGCAATAGTACCTTTATTGCCAATATTTAAGGGTTGTAGGGTAAAAAGGAAAGAATTTGCTCACTTTGTTGTCCTTTTAGTGGCACTCTTAAGACCAGATCTGTGAGGATGAAGACCTTGCTGTTGTAAATCATCTCACTACACCAAATATTCCAACCAAATGCTGAATGCTTTCATATGCTCTCTTGTCATATTAGTTAAGAATACGTCCTAAGCATATTGATTATTGGTTTGCTGTGTCACCACTGTTTCTCAAGATATAAACACAACTTGCTTTTTTCTTTCAAAGGGCATGATCCTCGTTTACCACAATATTTGATCAAACATGACCATATTTTAATCCATTTGATACTAGTGCATGTACTGTCCACTGTAGTTTATTTATTTATTTATTTTTACACATAGGTGGCTCATCAATTACAAAGACATCAAATAGTCAATTACCAAGCATGCCAAGCTTCACCTTTTTATTGTAGTCCATGAATAAAAAAAATCTATTGCTTTTATTGTTGTAATTGAACAGTATGTTAGAAATAATTATGATAATAAGAAAAACAACAACAACAACAACAACAGCAACAGCAGCATACACAAAACACAATCAATAACAATAAAAAACAACAGCCTTAATAATAATAACAACAGTAATAAGTTACATAAGGCTAATAATTGCTTGTGGGATCATCTTTATGTAAAAAGGAAAGAAAGGAAGAAATTTTGGACACTGCACATATACATCAATGGGTTGATAGATTTATACTTTGAGCGAGTTGCTGTAAGTTGTTTGTTTGTCCCCCGTCCCTTAATTTGATTTTCTGCAAGTAAGGATCCTACTGTATATTGGTTGTCATCCTTATTATGAAAATATGAATGTTTGGAATGGAAGATGCTGGTTTGAAAATACAGATGGAAATTATGAAATTATGAGCAGTAAGAAAGAAAACACATGCTGTTGTATCTCTTGCTTGTGGAAATAATATTGCAGATTAAAAGATTATAATTTTGCCATTTGTTGAACAATTGTTCTGCTTGCAGTTAAATGCCTTCTCCCCATTGATATTGATTATTTATTAATCATTTTTGTAATCATCTTACGATGTGCTTATAGTCTGTGGTGTAGAGTTTTACAAACAGACATTTATATGTAGGCAAACTATACAAACGTACATATATGCTATAACTATTTATGAAGTAATACTCATTGTTTAGGGGGGATATAAAAAAAAAAAAAAGTTATTGGAATTGTTTTTTTCTTTCTTTCTTTCTTTCTTTCTTTTTGGGTTAGTTGTTTTTTATAGTGCTCACTCCCTGCTCTTTTTTAATGTTGTACTCTGTCAAAAAAATAGCCTGTATGATTTTTTTTCTTTATCATTTTAAGAGGTTGATATATATATTGATGTGTGATAAAACTGTCTGCCCCCCCTTTTCCAAAATTTCCCTTTCTTCATTTGCATATATACATGACGTAAAACAGGAGGGAATTATTATCATCACTTAGGAACATTTCAGATATAGTGATGATTGTCTTTAATGCATTTCTTGCCTGTAATAGATCTTATATAAAAATCTTTGGAAATATTGCTTTTTCTTTCAGTGGATACTCTCTCTCTCTCTCTCTCTCTAGTAATACTCTCTCTCTCTCTCTCTCTCTCTCTCTCTCTCTCTCTCTCTCTCTCTCTCTCTCTCTTCTCTCCTCTCTCTCTCTCTCTCTCTCTCCTCTCTTCTCTCTCTCTCTCTCTCTCTCTCTATCTCTCCTCTCTCTCTCTCTCTCTCTCTCTCTCTCTCCCTCTCTCTCTCTCTCTCTCCTCTCTCTCTCTCTCTCTCTCCTCTCTCTCTCTCTCTCTCTCTTCTCTCTCTCTCTCTCTCTCTCTCTCTTCCTCTCCTCTCTCTCTCTCCCTTCTCTTCCCTCTCTCTTCTCTTCTCTCTCTCTTCTCTCTCTTCTCTCTCTTCTCTCTCTCTCTCTCTCTCTCTCTTCTTCTCCCCCTGCCGCTCTCTCCTCTCTCTCTCCTCTCCCTCCCTCTCCGTCCCTCTCCCTCCCTCTCTCCCTCTCTCCCTCTCTCCCCTCTCCCCTCTCCCCCTCTCCCCCTCTCCCCCCCCCCTCTCTCCCCTCGTCCCCTTCCTCCCTCCGTCCAACTCATCCACAAGCACAACACAAGTTAGAGAAATAAGAGGGTTAATAGTAGTTACAGGTCACAATAGGTTTGATTTTTGTAAAATGTGGAGTGAGAAAAAACTTGTTGATTTGTCATTCAGTTTTTACTTGCTGAAGGTTGACTTTGTAGCTATTGTATTTAACTATTCTGATGCCATTTGCAGTAAAGTTATCCTTTAATGGCAGTGGTTAAATAAAACATTCCAGTAATTGGTAAAGATTTCTGTTTTTATTTTGTCATGATTTTTTTCTCAGAATACATAAAAAAAAAAAAAACTCAGAAAGGATAGTGAAGTATGTAGGGGAATTATGAAAGGAAATTGTCAAGTGAGATTCAAATAGGGAAATTAATTTTACCAAATGCTGTGTGTATTATGCATGATGCCATAATATGGTAATGGTTCGTGTACATCAGTTATTGAGTAGCATGTTTTATGAAGAAATATAATTATGATATGAAGTTATCAAAGGAATTTGTATTGATATTAGAATAATTCTAAGGATTTTATACATATATATTGATATTATTATTGTTTTTTAGCTTTACTTTATTTAATGACTTGTTAGAGTTTGTTGAAGATGTTTCACTGTAATTTGCTATGGTTCTTTTAAGGTTGTCTCTTTCACAGAACTGTCTACAAACCACTGCTTTTATGCAAAATTTAAGATTCTCTCTAAGCCACCAGATACTATATTGTTTCCACAGATGGTTGGATTCAGCTTTGCAGCTGTGTCCTTGTGAGTTATGAAATGCATTAGTGTAGACTGTATAAACTTAGGTGGATTATGTTGCCCAAAAATACCTGGGAATGTAATAGAAATCTTAGGGTTTTATTCCACTACCTAAATAATTGAAAGAAAGAAAAACAGTTTAGGTTGATTTGGCAGTCCTTTTTTGTCAAAGGATATGAATACATTTGGACCTTATTGAATATGATAAAAGAAAAAGGAAATGGAAAATGGCAAATTGATGTATTTTGGAAGTAAAAGAACTTAGGTAGAAGAGTTGATTTACTGACTAGCATCTTATAGGAATATTGTAATCAGATGAGTTATAATGGCTGTGTGTGATAGTGTTTATATATGTATCTCATAGTGAGAAGTAAAACCACATTTGCATTTTTTTCTCAACAGTGAATGTAACATACCTGGATGCTGGTCATCCTTGCACTTGAGTAAATGTTGACTGTATGTGACATTAGGAGGCTTTCTTGAAATTTGCTTGATTGTATTTTTTGTCTAACTAAATGCTTTCTTTGCTTATTTTTATCCGTTTAAAAAAAGGTGTTGGTGGTTACTTGGTTTATTCAAATTAGGTGTACAGTTTTGGTTGATTGTAAACCCACTCATATTGGTTCAGATTGAAGATATTTCAGCTTTAATTTTCGTTGTAAAGTGCATTTTATTATGGTATTTATTATTATGAGACAACCACTTCTAATCCGCGTAACTGTAATCTGTTTTGTTTGCTAATCAGAAACTGATATCCATTTTCTTGGGCCAGTGTACTTTCACTTCCTTATTTAATGCATCTAAGGGAATTAAATTACTTATTGAACACATTTTTCAAAAATCAATGTAATCATTTACAGGATAGTAGGAAATTCTCCTGAAAAATTAAAAATGCAGATTGCACTATTTGTACTACCATTCTTTTCTAAGTCAGTGCTTTGCGTGTTCATAACATTGACTTTGAAGTTATACTACATCCATTCTCTAGAATGGAAAACTAGCAACTTGTCTGAAACTCTGGAGTACTCCAGTTCACCAAATTATTATAAATCTGATCAGCTTACACTTACTACTGATATTTATATACTATTTAATTTAAAACTCCTATATTATTTTCATTGTTTTATTGGAATTTGCTACCTGAGCACCACTTTGTTTTGTCTCAAAAGACTTGACAAATTGTAGTACTCTAGTCTGGTTGAGTTGCCATCTTTTTATTTCATGAAATAGAAATCATAGATATTAACACCTCTGCACTGTACTGCCATGACCATATTCATGGCACAAAGAAGTTATAAACAAGGAGTTTATATGATGATGATGTGTCAGTATCTTTCAGCTAGAATAACTATGGGGAAAAGGGTTATTTAGAAAGCAACTGTTGATTAGGAACATTTATCCTGTAATTTGGTGTTTTGATTAATTTACTATGCAACAGGTCCCATTGATACTGGATTAAAGATGGTTGCCTTGTATTGTAATGGTACTGGTATTTGCAGTGTTATGCACGATGCTATGAATGTTACATATGTGATTTATTATTATTATTTTTTTTTTCATTTATTTATTTATTTATTTTTATAGTGAAAATATTGCTTTAAATGTTTTTGTTCAAAATTCTACTAACTTTATTAACCACTTCAGTCCCTCCAGTGAAATAACTGTTTTATAGTGTTGAAAGTATTAAGGTTAATTAATAAGTACTGGTATTTTGCAGTTTTAATATTAACAATTTGTAATCTGTAGTGTAAATTTATACTCAGAAAATGTGATGTTAGTCATCTCTAGAATTTCATATTCATGGAAAATAAAGAAGTATGATAACTTTGATTGTAGAACTGTTTATAGTAATGTTTTGTTTTCGAAGGTATCTTCAATATTATGGTGATATGTGTAATTTAATTGACAGTGACATTTTTTAATGAGTGTCTTCTGTAAGACCATTGTGACAACTTAAGAAGATGCTCAGTGTCAGAATAAAATCATGAGCATTTGAGAATATACTAAAAGAGTACTTAACAATGTAATATTACAAGATGCTTTGATTGTATGCCTTGTAATTGTTAAAAATCTCCCATAGAACATCAAATATAAGTAGAAGTACATTGTCTATATATTTTGAATAGTGGTTATCATGTTATTTATCATTAGTACTACTTTGTACTTTTATGGCTGGATTTGGGTATAAGAAAAAAGAAAGAGAGAAAGAAAGAAAAATAAAACAAAAATGCAAACAAAAGGGAATCTCTGCTTCCAAAATTCTAGATATCATTGAATTCTACAGATTCTATGTTAGATTGTTTCTGCAAGATATCAGATTTGTGTTGTAGATAAGAACAGTGCAGTAGCTACTTACTACACAGGTGAAATGATTCAGTATGGCTTAATGGGCAGGATTACCATATATAAGATAAAAGTGACATTCATTTTGCACTGGTTTGACTTTTCATCTATGGATGCCTCAAAATAATCTTAAATTTAATGTGTGTACCAGCAAGGCTTTGTACATCTACAACACTTATTTTGCAATGATTATTTGAGAAAACTAAGCAAAGGTGAATTTCCTTGTAACATTCTTTCAGTATTTTTTGGACAAGGAGATCATTCTTGATTATAGAGAGTTCACTTTTCTTTTTTTTCTTCTTAAAACTCTCTCATCTTTGCATGTAAATCATTGGATTGTTTGTGAAAGACATGATAATCAATGTTATGTATGCATATTTGTGTATTGCCTTGTTTTCCCTCCCCCATTATTCTTCTGTATATTATTTAATCCTTTAGGATATATCTGCATGTATTATTATTCATTACTTTGTGAGAAACGGGTGAGGCTGTAAGCCATGGAGAATGTAAGCATTGCATTGCATTGCACATTTGATTGAAGTAGTATCTGCTATATTACTGTCCTATTCTTTATTAACAGTGTAAGGCTATTATGAGAAAAGTTAAACAAAATTGTATGTAAGATTTCCACTGCAAGGTTGTTTTTTTATAAGCCCACAAGGCATTAACCATATAGGTTGATTATATGGAGAAGATGAATTCATACTGGAAGCAGCATTCATTTTAGGATGTAAGAACAATGTACAGATTGCAGGGCAAATGGAAAGAAAAATATATATAAAGACTTTAATTAAGTAGACAAATAACTTTAAATAATGAGATTACTTATGATGTATTCCTTGATAAGTATAGTAAAAATGAGAATGTTATTGTCAGGCAATGGAAATATATTACTGTATTGTATTTATATTTGCAAAATACATGAAGAATTTTGATCATTGTTTTCTTGCAAAATGTCACATGACCAACCTTTACAGACTAAAATAATGAAAAACTTCTAACAATTTGATATCTGTATAAAGAAAACAGACACTAAAGATAATGACTAATGTTGTAATCAGACAATCATGAACAAATGTAATATTCTTGCTATGAATGTGGCACCTCACTTTTATTTATACAACAGGACCTTATTATCACCAAATAATTTAATTTTCTTCTTATTGCTTTCTATAAAGGGAATATCAATGGCTGTTCTCTTTTCACTAGAAACACGAGATGCGCTTTGTTGTGATGGGATAACACTCGGACTGGATCCTGGGATATTTGTCTGTCTTAACTGTCTACAGCTGCCACCTACTGAAATTTCACTATATCCAATGTCCTTAGATATTTCTTGGCCTTTAGCAGCATTACAAGATCTTGTCAAAGGGTTTTCTTCATTAATGCCTCCCACTGATCTCAAATCTTCAGAGATACTGTGGCTCTGCATAGGTTTCTCACCTGGTTGAGGCTTTAACCGTGACAAATACCTGGATGAATTACCATACTGAAACACGCCGCGCTTTTTGGAAGGGTTGACAAAGGAGGGGTCTTGGCCGTACCTTGTCAGGGCAGCTATGCTCTTCCGCCTCTCTTGCAACTTCTCTCTCGTGTCATCCACAGACTCCAACTCTGGGGCATAAAACACATGCAAAACCCCTCCATAGAAGTTCTTTCCGTCTAATTGCGCCTTGGCAAAGCATGCACTTTTAACCCTGGCAAACCTAACCAGGAAAGCTTCCGTGAAAGCTTCACAGGGGTAGTCCGGCAACGGCTGAATGAACTCAACATGGCCATATTTCAAGCACAGGCTCTCGACTTCGTTGGAGATCTTAATTGCCGGAATTCCCGTCAAAATAAGGAACTTTGATTCGTCATTCACCGTGTATACTTTAACTGCCGTGAGCTTCCTTCCTTGTCGATATTTAGCTCTCGTGAGGCAAAATTCCATCTGCTCGTGGTGAGGCAACTTCTCGACGGAGCCCGGGCTCTCCATGCTGTAAAACATTGGTGCCGTAGCTGTACGGGTCCTTGCATTCCCTACTCTGCAGTCTGTTTACACCCACCGTTATTTTCACCGAGTGTGACACCACTCCGCAAGACCAAAAGGCGCTATGCCAATATGCTAAAGTTATGAAATGCACTAACGTGTCATTCGATTTCATATCACACTAAAAAAAAAAAAAAAAAAACATTAATAAAAAGGATATTACATGCGTATGGCACGAAATGTATTCACTTTAAATAGTGAATGCTGTGAAGTAACTAAATCCAACGAAGAAATATAGCCCGTGTTTAAAATACCAAAAGAGTTCAATAAGTCTGGTAGACATATCCTGTAATCCACAGAGACACTTAAGCACGCTCAAGTTCCCGGTATATCATGTAAAACGCTTTTCACGTTAGGTTGGTATAAATCCAATTACATGATTCTCGTCCTTTTTCTGTTATGCGAATTAATTCATATAAGCAATTGCTTCGTTCAATCAAAAACAAGTATAGCTGTTAAGATTATACAAAAAATACACTACATTTTGTGGATATATGTTTAATTAGCCATGCCTGCAATGGTGAAACAGTGCAAGAGTCAAAGCGCTACATATAGCGCCTTTAGTGCTAGGTTGGTATACCCGTATCCTCGAGTACGACGCAAACATTGTCACGTATCCATTTCGGGAAAATATTGAATAAAGATCAGAATAAAGACATTATATCTGTCTTAGGGAAACACTAAAACCTACAACTGAATTCTTAAAAAAAATATTCACGCCTCCTGTTGTGAAAATAACCAGGTTTGTTTACGCCGTGTGATCCCCTGGAAGCAAAGACTCTAGTAGAATCGAATTCTCTCTGGATTCCACATTATAGACATTTCAATTCTTTATGGTATCTTAATTTTGATAGCCATTTGCGCTTGAATCCCTCGATCACCTGACATTTCTCACTCCCTTTACTTCACTTATAGTGTCGTTGCAGCCATGATGGTAGGCGTTTCTCGCTCTCTTCAGCCTATCCCTATTTATTCATATTTTGTGGCGAAATTACGTGTCGTTAGTGTCTTCAATCTTGAAAAATGTGTTGTTAGTGATTTTTTCCCTTCCTGGGTGTCGTCTAAGCACAACCTTTCTTTCCAGGACGGCATGGAAGAAGTTCTTCATAGCGAGACGAACGGGACGAAGGTAAGGAAATGAATGGAACTTTTTTTCAAGTTTTAGTTTTAAAACTTTAAAGAAGAGGGAAACAGGGAGAAAGGTTCTAGTTGATGTCTGCTTGGTACTTTGAAGAGAAGAGTTACAGGAGTTTTGTTTGCTCTTGATAAATTTTTAGATTGTGTGGGTGAACCAGCGGGTCATGTGAGCTGTGGTGACGTTTGATTAATTAACCAATGATTCAGTGTGTTCTTGAAAGAAGTCGAGCTTGTGAAATAGGGTGTTATTTAACTTTCAGGCTTTTAGTTGCATATGTGACTTCAATCTATTTTTTTTTTAGATAGTTACCATTTAGCATTTAGATTTGAAGGAAATTTAGAATTTATTTCTTGAACATCGGTATTGGCAATGGTGAAGTAGATGGGTGGCTTCTACTGCTTGAACTGGCCTATATCTCTTTATGGAGTGTTTGTAGTGGGTTTAATTTCCCACTTATTGGTGGGTGCTGTAGGTGAACTGAGGATCTACAGGGGAGCTGGAGACTCCCCAATCAGCATAGAGTATTGCTGCCCTTGTGTTGCTAGTGTGAGCTGAGGTGTGACTGGAGGATTGCAAGTTGATGATATTGGTTCAGGATCCTTATACATAGGGGCTGTATAAGCAAAGAGAGCCGTGTGGTGTCCATGTCAATCGGTTTGGTCTTGGCTTTGAGTTGTGAGAAGCACCTGTTGGTGAGAGTGAGGATGAGGCTGAGGGACATGGTGTGACATAACCTGGGAAGTATACGGAGCTGAGTTGTGCAGGTTGCAGGTCATTGCTGCAACAGTGGAGGTTATTCAGCTTGAAGATAACTTTTAATGATCTATAGAAAAGTTGACTTTTTGATTAGTTAATATTTATGCCGTAGATATTGTTCCAGCACCGGATTTTATAACAGTTTGGCTATTCGTCCGGCATACATGCGCACTAACTATTTGCGCACAAACACTCGCGCATCAGCCTTTCATACAAACTTTGGCGCTGTTTTTGTGTTGTTCATTGTTCATGGCTAAGGGTCGATCATCGATTATGGATTCCTTCAAAGTTGGAACTGAATTTACCAGTTTTGCTGATGTGAAGGACAGCTTGACCAAATTTCATGAGAGCACTTTCGCACAGTTTTATGTCAAAGATTCAAGGACTGTTGCTGCAGCTTTGAAGCGTACACTGGATAAGAAAGTAAAGCCAAAGTTGAAATACTCCTACTTAGTGTTTGCCTGCATCGGGAAATACAGCAATTGGGAGGGGGTTCGGGGTGTAGCCCCCCAGGTTAGGAGGGATTTTTGGTTCATACGGCGATCCTAATGGTAGTTCGTGCATTTAAGATGCAGTTCACTTGCTCATTCGTTCGCGTAACACTGTGTTGAATCATCCGTTGCCGAATCTTCTTTCGGGTTCTTACATGTTTCACTTTCTTTATCATCTGAAATGCTATCCTCGGCGGATTTTCAATTTCCCACTCTTTTGCTTTTTAAAATGCATGGTTTGAACGAAATCCCCCCCACCCGATTCCCCATGGGATCCCCCAACATTGCTGGCGGGAGTTGGGGACTTCTTCTCTGAAGGTGCGGTTATAGGCACGATAAAATCGCAGAATAGGAATGAAAATCACAGAGATGTCAAACTGTAGCAAACTTAGCATGTATGTCCACTCGGTCCTAAGAATAATTCAAAATTTTGATGATGTGCACCCCTGCCGAAAAAATAGCTCTTCAGTGCAGGCTTCCAACAGAAAATGCAGGAAAAATATCCCAGCAGACTCTCGATCCTACTAAGAATATTGCATGAAATGACAAAGACAGAATTATTGACAGTGCGCAAGCGTGAGTGCATGCCGGACGAATAGCCAAAATGTTATAAAATCCGGTGCCGGAACAATATCCATGGCATAATATTTATAGTATGGATGTACTAAGTTTGGGCAAATTGAATATGCTATTCTTATAGAGGACAAAAAGTTGGGTTATTTTCCTGTTTATGAGAATTGGGACTTCCCAGACCATATTTCTATCATCAGATTTATTCTTGTGTGACAAGAACGAATCGGATGATCATTTCTGTAGCAATCACAGTCGACAATCTTGATGTGTTAGGTCCTGATAGCAGGGGAGGGCACAAAGTATATCAGGGTAATTGTGGGGTAAAACAAGCTGAAATAAGAATAATAGATAGAAGAAATACATAAAACCAGTACAGATGCTTAAAATCGTCTAATGAAACTATACTGGCATGTCCGCCATCTTTGAAATTCTATGGACCGACGCACTAATTAAAATAAAAAAAAGAAAGAGAGAAAAAACTACAGGAACCCAACCCTTTTGGTAAATTCTCTGGGAATTCACACTACCCTATACATCCTGACCAATAAAGAACCTAATTCCATTCACAAACATTATTCAACAATTGCTGTGCCCGAGGGGAGGGTTGATGGGGACTGCCGCCCAACACTCTTCACCTCTGTATGTATGGCAAGACAGAGCTGCATACATACCTTAAAAAATAAACTTAATGTCTTTATATCTCGAGACACCAAACTTTCATTCACTTCTGTCTATTTTCTGGATGGCTTGGTTTCTAATAACTCTTTCCGGTACTTTGGAGAATTTTACAGGCTCACACATCAAGCTGTAATAGTTACTAAGGTCTGTTTCTTCTGCATAGCCATCATATTGTTGATTAATTTTTCGATTATGACATTTGGGATTTCCCAGACAATATTTATATCATCAGATTTATTCTCGTGTGATGAGAATGAATCTGATGATTATTTCCGTAGCAATCACAGCTGGCTATCTTGATGTGTTAAGGCTTGTTAGCAGGGGAGGGCATGAAGTATATCAGGAAAATTATTGGTATAAAACAGGCTTAAATAAGAAGAATAGTGAACAGAAATGTGTAAAACTAGCACAAAAAACGGTAAAAATTGGCTAATGAAACTACTGTCCCCCACCTTTGAAAGTCTATGCACTGATGCACCAGAGTTTGAAACACTCTACTGGAATCCAAGCCATCTTTTGGCAAAAGGTACGTGATTTCACATCTTCCAAACCCCCCAAAACGTCCTGACCCATAACCCAACCTAACCTAACAATTTACAGTGCCATGACTAATTGTGCCCTTCATGTACTGCCCGAGGGAAGGGTTGATGGGGGGCAAGCTCCCCCAACACCCCCCGGGATGCATTCTCTTCACCTTGGTATATACGGCAAGATAGAGCTATATCCAGACTGTAAACAGTAAACCAATTACCTTTATATATCGAAAGAACGAACTGTCAATTTTCTTTCTCTTTCAGTCAGTTGTTAGGTCTAATTTAGATTGCTATGTTTTTATCACTTTTTTTTTTTTTTTTTTTGATTTGGGGTACTTGATGGCCTTAGAAATCAAACTGCGATATTTATTAAGGCCTTTTTCTTCTTCGTTTCCACTGTATAGTCTTAAGAACAACCTAGAATCGATGTAACACTGAAAACTAAACATTTCGGTTACCTGTCACCGACTGCCCGGGAAATGTCCTGTCAAACCGGGCGGCAGAAATGCGCATGCGCAGAAGGTTCTTCAAACTAATTTCCTTAAATCACTGTCTAATAAATTTTGAAACATGAAAATGAGGTATAACAACATTAAGGGGAAGAGTCGTCAGTACGATTCACAAATTACGATTTTTTCAAACTTTGTGTGTGGATACATGACCATTTGACGCACCCAGGGCGCCGGTTGCCAGATGCGTAACGTGCTCCTTTCCACGGTTTAAAGGTCTTGCGTATTTAAATGCCTTCGTGCTGCCACACCCCTTTTTGCTTCATTATTTGTTTTTCTTGTATTTTCACGTTTTTTTTTGGCTGTTTTTGCGAATTTCTTTGGTATGATACTGCTGTATGATAGTTTAGGCTGCGTTCAGCAGACAGGTAG